GGTTCCCACGGCCGGGCGGATGAAAGCCGTCTCAGCCGCCGGCTGCATCCCCATCTCCGACGCACCGCGGACGTGCCCGACAGCTCCGAAGCTCTGACACAGGTGCTAAGGGCTGAGCTCCTTTGGAAAACTGGCCTCGCTCCTGGGTGCTGAGCGCTTTTGCAAAAACACTGGCTCGGAGTATCCGATCAAGCTCTTATTCCTTTTCATGGCCTTAGAGTCCAAACAACCTAATTACAGGTGCTCTCCGAGAGGCTGGGGGGTGAAGGCAGCAGAGGCTTTCAAAGCAAGAAAGGCTGAGTCCACGCTGCTTCGTCGTAATTTAGTTCTCAAACACTCTCCTGTGTAGTTATTAACATCATTAAGTTTTATTCAGGCAGGAGGGCTGCTGGAAAATGCTGCTAATTACCTTTCCAGCCCTGTGCATCTGGAATCCGCCAGTTAGCAGCAAAACCAGTTTCTTTTACGTGCAGGATATGCTGTTCGCTTCTTCTGCCAGGTTTCTCTTGTCCAAACCTCACGGTGTTTACAGCGTTAATACTAATGCATATTTATAGCAACATTTTTTTTTAGTCAGTGAAAAATAACTAATAACTGAAAATAGCTTTAGTATTTCTCATCTGGGTTTCTTCTAGAGAGTAGGCTAGGAAAATACAGTATCTGTGTTTACTCGTCTAGAAAGAGGTTGCTTTTAGACAAATACTAGCTTAAAGGGATCAAAATTTCCTGTTTTTTCAGCTAGACTCAATATCATCTAACACAAGTGAGTAATAACAGCTGGAAGCTGAGATGATCAAGGGCCAGAGGAGGGAACTACAGCCTCAGAAATTACCGTTCCTGTTGATTTCTGTAGAGAAGAACTCAGGATTTCAAACCCTGCCTAGTCTTCGGCAGGCTGAGGGTAGGCCACATTCACCTGATGCTTCTGTATTTTAAATTGTATATGAAACAGATACACAGGTGTCTGGCTTCAGCACGGCAAGATGAAATGTCCACGTCCTCACCTTCAAGGGCACTACGGCTGAGGTCTGTGAAACACGGGTTCACCTCCTCAACTCTGCCTGGTCTGGACAGACCCTCCACTGAGCCAGTCCAACAAAACCCTCCCGGCAGATCCTCACCCAAGAGCTCACTTGTGTGATGGCACACATGTCTTGAGGTGCTCAGGCCCTGTGCCATTACTAATTGCCCAGCCAGCCTTCTCTCACCGGGAAATCAGAGGAATTGTTTTACTTTAAACAATTTCCTCTTCCATTCCCAAACCTGAAGCACAGTGCTCTCTTCAGTGTGCTGGTGTCTGCTGCAAGAGCTAGATCAGATGCCTGTAAAACAGGATGCCTCTTCCTTTCATTTCATAGAATCACAGAATGGTTTGGGTTGGAAGGGACCTCAAAGATCATCTAGTTCCAACCCCCCTGCCATGGGCAGAGACACCTTCCACTACACCAGGTTGCTCAAAGCCTCACCCAACCTGGCCTTGAACCCTTCTATTTCTTCTATTTCTGAACCTTTCTATTGCATTACTAATCAAAAAAAGCTGCAACACTCATTTTTTTAAAAAAATAAACCCACTCAGACAAGTGTCCCAATCCATCACACTTTCCATGCAACTTAGATCCAATTGCTGGTGGTCCCTTCTGGTCACAGACCTCACACCTGGTCCCAGCCAGTCCCTAATGAAGTTCAAGGCTCTTGATAGTTCAATCAAGATTGTACCCAACACAACTATTAGGCCTTGAGCTACTTCAACAGGGGAATCTGCATTGGCAGAACAGGCGGAAGGGCTCGCTACTCCTTAGCCAAGGCATAGTCAACATTGCTGCGTATCAGGAGATTTGTGCATGTCAAATTACAGGAAACATGCTTGCTTTCCCCCAGATCCAGGTGCATGTTATTTTGCTTGAGGTTTTTTTTTCTTCTTGCAGGGTCCATATTATTGCCAGTGAGTCCTATAACACTTTAGTGCAAAATATACTTTCTGGCAAAACAGCTGCTGTCCCTTTTAAACTCTATTTGGTGCATGCATGTGTGTATGCATTTATGTGTATGTAAACAGTACTAGGGTGGCACAAGAAAAACACATCCATATTGAAAACAGCTATCTACTCAAAGAAGGAATAACATCGCTTTGGGTAGAACCTAAACATTTATCCCTAAGTTTAAAATAAAATTAATTGACTGTACTTCAGCACTGTGACCCAAGACAGAAAAAGCTTATATGAAACTGGAAGTCCTCCTGTTCTAATTCATCAAATTACACTTAGCTGTAATAGCTTCTTGAAATTCGCACATCGAATGACCTCTGGAGTCTGAGATCTCCAACTGATCTTCAGGCTTAGGTCTGCATCACAAAATTAAATGAGAAATGGTTTCATGGTATATGTACCCCACAATGCAGCAGTACTAGAGCAGCACAATAGCTTACGGATTTAAGGGCAATTATGAAAACAAGCGAGAGTTGAAAATCAGGCATGTCATTACCCTTGCTCCCATGAACCTGTCTTTCAGCACAATCCAAGAAAGCAAGAAGACAAAAGCTTTGTTACAACAGAATAGGGCAGAGACGTCTGTGGCTGTCAGCTTCTTCAAAGCCAGTAAATACAGGTAGTTAGTCAAAGTCCACAGAATAGAAAAGGGAGCAGTCCTTTTAAGAAAGAGTTTCAGCGTCAGACCATCTTCACCAAAAATCCGACTGCATTCCCTATGAAAAGAAAAGAGTTTCAAACTCAGCTCGGATTTTCCTTAGCATTCACTCCAGCACAGCAAACGTTCATTAGACTTTTATCGCATTCAATTAAGTGCTTTTCCTAACTACTCTGCACACCCACAAGAATCTATTGTTTAATTCGCGTAGAGAAAATAACCTACAATCTTCTTAAAACAGCAATTTCGCAAATAGAAAAGAAGTAACTTACCTGGAATAATCACACTCTGCACAACAATAATCCCAGGGACTCGCACAGAGAAATGAAGGTTATCTATAATGCACCGACAGTTCTCAGACTCTGCCTCCGAGGCCACGAACAGAGGGATTATAACCTTCATTTTTTCTCCGTAGCTTGACAATTTTTTCTTGTTTTGCTCCAAAACCTATTTTTCTTCTTATTGAAATATGTTCTAACGTATGACCGAGTAAGCTTCAGGACTCATAGAACGGTTTGGGTTGGAAGGGACCTTAAAGATCATCTAGTTCCAACCCCCCTGCCACAGATACTGTGCAATCGCCTAAAGATGCTCAAAAATACTGCCAGATGCATCACCATGGTGGGAAGGAGAGTCCTCGGACAGCGAGACTGAGCCAGCTGAACAAGAGCGTAAAGAAAGAAAGCAAAGGGGAAGGGAAGGGTATTTAACAGCTGTATTTTATCATACAGTGAAAAGTTGTGCTCGCTTGGAGAGGCTTCTATGCAGACTAAATTGCAAAGAAAATCTCTAGTTTCCCAAACACTGTGTCACACACACCTCGTGAGCTGTTTGCTTCCAAGGATTTCAAGAAAGGGAAGGATCAGTTCAGGAGACACTGCTTTTGGGGACAGCTGTCCTGTGCAAAGCGGTACCTGCGTGGGCTAAGAGGACACCAGCTTGATGAAAGGTACATCACTGCACCCCTCTGGAAACACCTCTACCTTTCCCAAACTGGGAAGGATGGGTTTATCAACGCCACTGTCTGTGCTCTTGGTTAAAGGGATTCCTCAAGATATTCCCCGTACGCTTCATTTCGTGACGTGGCAGAGTCTCTGACACGTCGACTCAAAACATGGGAAGTCCCACAAGTGAATGCTTCATGCAACGGAAACACCAACGGAGCGAACCAAGGCACTGCCAATCTGCAACACATCTTGATGAGGCAACATTAAGGGACTCATCTAAATGCCACGAGGCTTCGGGGCCCCAGAGTATTCACAGCCAGATATGGCTGTGATTGGAAGATTGCTAAAACACTAATTATGTAGAACTAATTAGTAACTTCAAAGATTGCACTGCAATGTGAAGTCAAAACCACTTGTTATTTGGGGGGTGGTGGTATCAGTGTAATAATTACACTGAGTTAGCTTTGCCTTTGAAGACAGAATCATTTTCAGGTCTCCTAAACCATTTTCAGTAATTCTGGGGAATTCTGCTGTTAAAAATATTATGGTTTTTTACTATTAAGAATGGAAACCATCACTCATTTTGAGAGAAGTAGACTAATAACACCTTTGTAATGCATGAGATCAGCTATGTCTTAACTTAAATGATTCTATGATTCTACTTAATAACCATTCATTCCCTGCTGCCACTAAAATGACCTGGGGTACAGAGTGCCAGAGTGTCCAACAAGTTAACACTCAGGCAGGCAGATCTGCTAACTATCTCCTTCACTCCAGTTGACCTCGACATTCTTGGTAGTCAGCCTGTTTTCCAAAGATCAGAAGAGAAACAGACAGGGAATGGCTAGTGGTGTGTATCATTTACCTGAGATGGAAAGCGAATACTGAGCGGAGCAAATAAATTAATGCTCAAGTTTGACTGTAGGCTTTTGTGTCACTGATTTCAACAGAGTTAAAGGTGATGAGTTTCCTCGTGTGAGAATGGAATCACTGGTAGCACAGACTTGAATGTTCGTTGACATGCAGACATAGCAGTTTATGTTTAAAAGATGTTTTTCTCCCCTTGAGACTCAGGTTGGATTCAGAGGGTGATTCTGAGCTCAGGCAACATCTCACTTCAAGACAGGTGGCCCCTGACCTGGATGCACCATGCTGTGTCACCATTACGTGACACCTGTGCCATGATGCCCCGTCTCCTGGCAAGAAGAGATCTGCATTGTGAACTACAGACCTGTACGGATGGAGCCTGCTCTCTCCAATCCAGTGGGAATTCTGCCATCAGTTCTGATGCACGATTGGATCGTTACATGGTTGTAAATCCAACCTGTCTCGGAAGCTGTCAGGATCTGTCTTAGAGGAAACAAGCTTGTGCTGTGTTAAAACAAGAGAGAAAGGTGCTTGGGCTGCTTACGGTAATGCAGGGCACAGTGAAGTACCCCACTGCTATGCTGAGAGTGTGCAAAGGCAGCAGCAAAATCATCCAAGGACATCACTGGTGGAGTCTGCAAGGCAGCAGGAAAAGCTCTTCTACAAATGTGCCATGGGAAATTATACCCCATCATCCATCATGCCCCCCCCACTGCCAGGGAAAAGCTGGGAATAAGTTTGGAGCTTCCAGTACCTGAAGGGGCTACAAGAAAGCTGGAAAGGGGCTTTGGACAAGGGCATGTAGTGATAGGACAAGGGGTGATGGCTTTAAACTGAAAGAGGGGAGATTTTGATTAGATCTAAGGAAGAAATCTTATACAATGAGGGTGGTGAGGTGCTGGAACAGGTTGCCCAGAGAAGTTGCAGATGCCCCATCCCTGGAAGTGTTCAAGGCCAGGTTGGATGGGGCTTTTGAGCAGCCTGGTGTAGTGGAGGGTTTCCCTGCCCATGGCAGGGGGGCTGGAACTAGATGATCTTTAAGGTCCCTTCCAACCCAAACCATTCTATAATTCTACGATTCTATGATTTTATGATTCTGCTGCTCCGTCCATGGGGAGGACGAGTGGCTTCCAAAGTCAAAAAGGTGGGGGAGGGATGCCAGAATGGGTCAGCTTTTGCTGTCCTGCAGATCTCTCAGATGTCTGCATGACGCAGACAAACTCAGACCAGAGTCAGGAGGATGGAGTCCAAAGTGCCCTGACTGCGAATCCTCGGAAGGAGTGATACCAAAAATTTAAAATAGTCCATTTGTATTCATTTTGTATATGTCCATCTGTATTCTATCTATGCAATAGATTATTCAAAAAGGTTAACAAGCAGAAAACTAATCACTTTGAACTCAAAACTAATCACTTTGAGGTAAGCACAGACCAGATCAACCTTGAATAACAGCCAGAACTGGTTAACCATTAGAATCAAAATAAAGGACACCTGGATTCTTCCTCAGAGCACATGCTCCAAAGAAAGTTCAACCAAAGGACATGTAAAAAACGACCACCAGAGGGTCCTGAAGACCCCAAAGGACCCTCACAGAAGACCCCAAAGGACTTAGGGCACATGTGTAATCAGGATGCAAATATTAATTTTCGGAAATGGGATGAATATGTATAATCATTCTTGGAAATCTAATACATATGTATACAACTGACATATAAACCCTACTAACTTCAACCAAAACCAGACACGTTCGGAGGAATTTTCCCCTGTGTCTCCAGTGCTGCAATAAAGAATGTCTGCCTCCTAAAACTTCAAAACAGGTCTTGGAGGGCTTTTCTCTGCTGACTTTTACGGTATCAGGAGAAAGACTCAGTGATTATTATATTATTGTGGGTTGGACAATGTGGGATGGTCAACTATTTGGGAGAGGCAGCTGTGGCAACCCCACGAATGTCACTTATCTCTGAGTTCCCAGAAGCAGTGGGAGGGATGAGCAGAGATTCACAGCTAGGAAAAGAAATCTGGAAATGCTGCCCAGGCCCCAGGCAATGGGCTGTTTAAGGAGATGAAAGAGGCTCCATCACACACAGCAGCGTACAATGACCAGACAAAACAGGGGCCAGCGGTTCCTCACCTCTCAATTAAAAAAATACAGTAAAGACTTGTGACAGGATCGTGCTGAGTGAGACAGAGACTTGATGTATTCACCTCTGTGCCTAGGAGAACTCCATGAATAATGCTCAGTGAACGAGGAGATAGGGAAAATACTTTATTTTTCCAGTCATGGCCACAGTAGATTGCCTCGGGCTTTGTGAGGGCTGGTTGCTCAGTGGTTAACTCAGCCTCTTTGGCATGCAACTAAAATTAAACTTGAAGGAGTCATCAGACATGACAGTGACTAAAATCCCAGGCTCAGGAGAGAGGGCTCCATGGATCGCTCCCCATATAGATAATATCTGTAGGCTGTCGACTTAAAGGCAGAGACATATCTGAGGGCAGCTGACCCTGAAACTATGACACAAACTATTTTCAAATGCACAAGAAGTCTACTTAAAACCTGCCCTCTAACATAAATAGCTCTTTTTATTTGCAGGTAGCCCTCAGCCATCAGCTCTGGGCAGCGTGCCATGCTCTCAGGAATTACAGCACCTCCGGCACTCATGCAGCTTTGCCTCTGGCACCCGCTAAACAGCTCCCGTCCCTCTTGGTTATTCTGATGCCAGCCCCTGCAGAAGAATGGGTTTATTCACCCCTGACGCACAGCAGCCTCTGGAGTGTAACACAGCAGCTGGATTTAAAACAGCCTGCAGAAAAAAACAGAGCTAACAGACTCTACCTGGGGTAACGTGCATACGGTGAAAGTAATTACATCACCCGGATTAAAACTGGGCAAGGCCACCAGTGACATTACGGTATCAAGAAGCACCACGGGACCTTTCGTGAGAAAAAGTTGCTCCTTCTATCTAAACAATGTCATCTGCTGCAATAAAATATCATCCAGCTCCATTTCAGGAGACAGACACCAAATAGAGTAATGGTGGTTAAGCAAATGGCGAACTGTTTTCCAGCACTGACCGAGCGTAAACATCAAGAGCCTGAACCCCTGGAGGGGTCCAAAGAAGGGCAACTAAACTGGTCAA